GGGTTTGTGTGTGTGTGTGTGTGTGTGTGTGTGTGTGTGTGTGTGTGTGTGTGTGTGTGTGTGTGTGTGTGTGCGTGTGTGTGTGTGCGTGTGTGTAGGGGTAAATGAGGGGCATTAACTTTGTGCAGTTTGTCAAAGGCACTTTATGACTTTCAAGCCATTGACTTGCATTAGTTCAGTGGGCAGTGGTGACACGTTCAGTAATAGCACGCCCCTTGTACCAATCGCGGGAAAATGGCCAACCGGTCGAGGTACCTCCATGTTTCTTTGGGGGCGTTCGGAAATTCACTCTGACGACCGGGTTCTACTCTGAGAGTGGGTGTACAGTATTCAGAGAGGCAGAGCTCCGCTTCCATTAATTTCCGAACGCAGTCAGCCCTGTTATGCAGTGTCCAACGTCGGAGCGCCTAGTGCGCGCACCTGCAGTCCGTTTTTGGTACACGCTGACTAACTGAAAGGCAAATTTGAACAACTCTCTTGAGTTTACTAACGGTTGGAGTGAACCAACCATGGTCACAGACTACAGGTATTTACGAAAGCGCTCTTTATTTAACAGTAACAAGGCACGTGTCATACGTTCTGCAGAAAACAAAAAAGGCGTTTGAGAGTGGAATGAATTATTACATGTTTTAACATCTTTTAACTTATTTGGGTACGCTGCAAACTTCCGTATACAGTACATTGACAAACGTTAACGTGCTTGATGGCCCCGCCCACATGTTACTACTGCCACTTCTCGCGATGTTTGGTGCACTTATATGCTTCGGTCGCCCACTTCTCGCTCTTTCTTTCTTTCTCCCCTTAACGGTGAAGGTGTAACAGTTATCGGTCGTCCCGAACCGGGTTCATCCGACACCCTCACCAATCAAGCTGAACTGAGCTCAACCTCCACACCAACATGCCACCAAAATTCGACCCCGGCGAGATTAAAGTTGGTACGTTTATCCTGTCAAACGGTACTTAAAGCAGACGCTTGGGTGACGATCAAGATGGCGTCGCACTCCGTCGACCTCCGCACCGCGCATTCACAATGGTAATTTTGGTACTCGAGCTGTGACAGACGTGTTATTGACATGTGTGTTTGTAGACTGTTTGCTCTGTGATTAAATTACGTTGATATTTTATACTAGGTAACGTGACCGGCCCACTCGTGCTTTGGCACGTGGGGGTAAACTGCTAGCGGCTAATTGTTAGCTTTTCTTTTTTTTTTTGCGATAATGGCGACACAATGAAGCCACATTCGCCTGTTGTAGTAATCATCATAACCATCATCGTCTTCATTATTTTAACAGACCTAAATTCTAGTCTGTTTGCGCTGTAGGAAATTTTTTAACGGTTACTCGTAATATAGTTTTTACTCCCCGCCTCGAAGGAGGCGAGCCATTTTTTTAAATGGAAAGGAAGAAGACTGTTCGAATCAAAATCACAAACTGAAAGATACTCTGCATGACTTCTTTTGAACCAGGTATTTAGACGTTTCTATGGTTGCCCCGTGCAGTAAACATAGAGCCCTACATTTGCTGGTTGATACAAAATGAGCTTATTTAAAGTTGACTTTCATTACGAACCTTGGTGTGTGTCTTACAGTGTACATGAGGTGCACTGGAGGAGAGGTTGGCGCCACATCAGCTTTGGCCCCCAAAATTGGGCCCCTGGGTCTGGTGAGTATTTTGCAAGGGTTTACACAAACCAGCCCCCCGCCACTATTCCTGTCTACCATAGTGACTTGGTGTAGTCCAGTGGAGGCTTAGAGTAACCCAGCTTTAGGAAACAGAGCTGCCCAAACTAATGGTCAACCCTGTGCCGAAAAGTCTAGAACATTCATTTCTTGTCCTGTCCATATTGTGAACTGTGCCTTTGCCACTCTATTAAATATTGATTTGGAAGTGTATTTCCGAAGAAACGAGATTATTTGGTGAATCTGATAAGCCTCATAGCTAAGCTCCGAATAGTTATAGATTTCATTAGAGAGTCTGAGCCTGCTCCTCTCTTACAGTCTCCCAAGAAAGTTGGTGATGATATTGCCAAGGCCACCGGTGACTGGAAGGGTCTGAGGATCACCGTCAAGCTGACTATCCAGAACAGACAGGCAGCGGTACAGATACTTGTTTTCTTTGAATTGAGGACACACATGACTCCCACTCTGCGTGTTGATTACACAGTAACACCCTGCTGAATGGGGAGCGTTCAAGTGGAACTGAGAACTTGGTCTTGATTCTGTCTTTATAGATTGAGGTCGTTCCCTCTGCCTCTGCACTCATCATCAAAGCTCTTAAGGAGCCCCCTCGTGACAGGAAGAAGGTCAAGAACAGTAAGTGGCTGCTATATTTAAAAAAAATGTTTGCCTACAAGGTACACCTGAGTAACTAGAAGTTCAATGGTGTCTTGAAGCTCTGACGCCTGGCATAATTCATAAAGGATAATGACAGACAGCACACCAGACATAACTAAACACTGTTTAGTTAGTGTTTCGGGGTCACTTCTGCAGGTGAGCCCCTGTGGACCCCGCCACACTGAATACAGGGATGCCAGCATAATGACTTTGTCACCGACAAGTTTTTGGAAATGATAGCCAAGTGTCACACTACAGTGATGACTGGAATGCAATTGTCGTCCCCCCTCCCCCTCACTCAATGTGTCCTTTTTTTCTTCTTCCTCAGTCAAGCACAGTGGAAGTGTGACCTTTGATGACATCGTCGGTGTTGCTCGTATCATGCGGCCTCGTTCCATTGCACGGGAGCTTTCTGGTGAGAGTCAAATTGGTCAGGCAGGATTAGTGTCTGTCAGGGCCTGCATTACTACACTTGGTTGTTGGTTAGCCTCCCGCCACTATGCCTGTCTGTCAGAGTGACTGAGTATAATCCAGTGGAGGCTTAGATTGACCCGCCTTTAGGAAACAGAGCTGCCCAATATAATGGACACCCCTGTGCCGAAAAGTCTGGAACACTATCACAGGAAATTACATACTCTGACTAAATGTTTCTATCAACACCCAAGTTTCTGAGGTGAAAAGAAATGCAATGTTAATGTTGAATGCTGTTCGTTACTGTTTTTTTACTTTTATGTATTTTTATTTTGCCAGGAACCATCAAGGAGATTCTGGGTACGGCTCAGTCTGTTGGCTGCACCATCGATGGTCGACCTCCTCATGATATCATTGATGACATCAACAGTGGCAAAATTGAGTGCCCATCAGAGTAATAAAATGTTGGAAATGGAATCGCTTTGCCTCATTTTTCCATTTTCAGGCTTTCACACTTGTTGCTCTTTTTGTTATGAAATTTCACTTTTAAGTTTTTTTACTCAGCTGAATTTGTTGAACACAAATCATGACATAACCAGGTTAAAGAAGTGCAGTTAAGTCTAGCCTTGGGCAAAAACAATTGTAATTTTAGTGAGGGGAAAATTGCATGGCGGCTCTGCCGGTTTATTTCCTTTCTACAGGTCTGTTATTTTTACAGGTTGTGATAAAGCTACCACAATGGAGCTCTTACTCATAACTGGCAGCAGCGCTAAACCGACGATTGGCTTGTTTCCACGTGCAAATTAGCAATTAATCATGGGTTTAAATCTAAAGGACAGTGCCCATTGGAAAGTTGTGGTTTTGTTTTCTATGAATAAAATAGTATGGCTTCTACAATTTGCTAGAGGTTTTGAAGGTCTATTGAAAATGATTAAATCATGCATTTGCATGATTTAATGTATTTATCACTGTTTTGGGGTTTCGCTGGCTTTTGTATTTCCTTTCACAAAAAACAATTGGTGGGGCCAAGCAACGAAGGATGACCATGTTACATTTTGCTCACTGCACAGTACTGCCATCTATCGGCGACGGGTTTTGACCTATTTTCGAGAACCTTTTACGCAAGCTACTGAAAGCAAAAATGAAACAGTAGGCTGAAGGCTGACACCTCAGTCCAGTTTCTTTGTCTCGTGCTACAATTGAACATGATACCGGTCCTAGTCTGTTGAATGGGAGAGGAGGGACTCAGGCTGTAGTAATCACTCAACCTGGAGCTGTTAGATTGAAAATTTTCATTCTTTTATATCTCTCTTCGACTTGGTCACTTAGCTCTGCAGCAGATGAACAACTGTGAGGACAGAGTCATCACCAAACTAGTGAACAAAATAACTGTATTCTATCAGGCTCCGATTTCACACGAAAATGGAAAATGTGCTTTGGCTAATAAAGGTTGGAAAACGCTGACATCGAGTGCTTGTTTGAGCCAAACCAGAAAAAATGTGTACAACTACACATTTGAAGTTCACTAAAATATATTTATTGAAAAATTCAGTTCATGAAAATCCTACAAAAATTATGCATTTTTTTATTATAATTGTAAGACCAGGTTCAAAACATCATTTGTAAACAAGCGTACATTTTTTTTTGTAACGAATACGCCACATGATGCGCATTATTTCTGACTCTGGCATATTATAGATGCAGCAGAAATTCCAACACCAAAATCACAACTGTCATCTTCACCAACCCAGGCAATAAATGCACAACTCAGTTGCCCCGTTCATCTTATCAGTCTCAACTGAATCAACTGCACTTTTTTTCCCCCATGAATTATTCCCGTGCAGCTCACATAAATTCTACAGTAGCTGCATTAAAGTATATAACCTTGTCATTTTAAAGTTGATCTCCAGGATGGACCATATTGAATCCCGTTGGCCAAGTTAGTTAATTTTATCAATCCAACAATAATACATCGGTTCGTGACATTATATTTGGAAACAGCCATAGCATTAAAAAGTGACAGCACATCACTATGCTTGTAAAGGATGATTCTACTTCTGCTATTTGTCAAACCAAAACACCGATTGTTACTCTGAGACACCTGATCCAAGATGTAATTAAGCAAGGAAACTGGTCAACACCAGTTAGTTAGGGTGTGATCCATTTTGTCACGTGCCAAAACACAGCAAAGCGGAACGACAGAGACTTGAAAGTATGTTGTGCTTTCTTTTAACATCTGGATTTCAGAGGATAGGAGACAAAAAGCAACAACCCGGACAATAAACCAATCAGTTTCTACTGGGATCCTCGTGATAACCTCACACGGGCTGCCTGGGTGCAATTCATCATTTAAACAGCGCTTCCGAGTGTGGGAACTGTTCTCAGTTTTCCACCTCCTCTTCCTCCACCTCGTTCTCTGCTTCAGCTTCTTCCTCCATGCGTTCCTCCTCCTCATCCTCCTCCCGGCTCTTATCATTTTCAGAGTCTGTCTTCTTCTCTTTATCTTTGCGTTTCTGCTCTGACACTTCCTTCTTTCCCTTTTGGCCCTTCTTATACACTGTTAAGGAACATAAACAGCACAGAATGAGGAGTTGCATCATCAAGCAGAAAAGACCCGTGTAGCTTTGCAATTCCACACTTGAAGTCATTTGTCAAAGTGATGGGGAAAAGACGATACAGGGATAAGTGCAACACATCAAAGTCTCCTGTGACCTTACCTGCAAACTTTCAGACATTATTTAGCTATGTTCCATGTTAGTTTGTTGATTCGGGCAAATCTTATATTTATGAGCTTTTCAAAAGAATAATGACAATGGAATTCACTTTTGGTAAATTCTACAAGTATCAGTAGACATTTTTCCACATTTTAACCGTACAATATTGACATCAGAAACTTTCCTCTTTGGATTTAAAAGATGTTTAGTTAACAATGCTTGTCTTGGAAAACAATGTCTGATACAGCAGTTACATGACTTACTATCCACAAGAGAACATTTTTTGGTGACTAGAGTTACTGACCTTCCAAAGCTTCTCGGAGAGGCTCCATGAACCGCTCAAACTCCATTTCCTCCATTGCAGCTAGGACGTCGCCTGCATTCAAAGTTTTTCGCTTGGCTTTCATGGCAAAGTTGTTTGCACTGTAACATATAAAGATTCATAAAATGCTCTTTCATTTCTTTGGGTGGCTTGAACAAATTTTGGGTTATCGGCCCCTTTTAGTGATCAGAGTGATTAAGTAAGTAAGATGTTACTCAAAAAGAGCTTGTGTCTTAAAATGACCTGTCTCATGGCAAACATGATGGTTGTGATCCATGGTTGTCACAACACCGACAGAGATGCTATTCTCCCTCACATAAGCCATCAAAATGATTTTGAAGGTGCCGTTTTAAATGTGAAATTACTATATATTGAACTGGAAATATTCACATATACTAAGAATTCTAGCAAGATGACAGTTGTTGTTTACACAATTCACATTATATGGAAGATGATTTTGTGAAAGCGTTGTTTGTCCTCTTACCAAGATGTTGCATACAGCACAAAGACACTGGCAGCTTGGGATATTGCTCTGCGTGCTTCTTTTGACACATTCACCCCATCTGGGAGCTGTTGAAAACAAACGATATGGGGGCGTCATCTCAAAGCTACAAACATGTTGAGGACTACACAAGCTGGCATATAATATTTATTTACACAAGGACCACACCATTTTCCTTCAAAATGAACAGTGGCAGTAGGTCATAAGTCGCCAGAATGTCCATTTGTGTTCTTCAGTTAAACGCAAATGAGGATTGAATTTTTGTACTGTGTAATTTCCCTCATAATTCAAAATGTTCTGTTTGGAATCACTCTCCATTCTGTATACAGTGCCGTCAATGTATCCCATAATGCAGGGGTCCCCAACCTTTTTTGCCCCACGGTAGTGCCGTCAATGTATCCCATAATGCACCCTGAAATGAAATATAGTGAGCAACAAATCAAATACATCCCATATGCTTATATCGAAAAAGATTTCCCGTTTCTAGGAGTCGGCAGGAGACAATCCTTTGTTGTGGTGCGCTATCTTTATTATAAGATATATAATACATGACAACATGGATGGACATTAAGTGCTTTGTCTTCATTTCGTAAAATACATCCAGCCTACAACACTATATTGTTGTAATTTTAGCATTAAATTTACTTGTGAAATGTTACTTTAGTTCCACAAGCTGACGTTTATTCGGTGCGTCATAATTATGCGACACCAATGACGATTCTAACGTCGCGCCCGAGGAGTGTCCGAAACTTTGCCTTTTGACTTTACTTTAAAATGCACTCTATATTTAAAAAAATATAGAGACACTGCTTTGGAAAGAGTATATGAGGACACTGACATTGTGTCCAGAATAGCGGTCCATAATTGGGGCAGGACTCAAAGTTTAAGGATAAAACTACGATATTGACGCATGAAACTGATCGTGTTTTCAATATTGCGCGCTCGACACCTATTAATTCAAAACGATGGTTTCTGATTTCGAATAGTAGAGTGTCATAATTTTCTTGTTAAGTGTATTTTGTTTGGGAAGCGCATTTAAAACAATATGTATTACAAAATTGTTGATTACTTTAATCGCTCTAGAATGCATTTACGTGCTCAAACGATCACATTACAAGAATAACACGTGCGGTAACTAAAAGAACAAAGACCCATTTCACTTGTCGATTAATTGGAATCACTCAACCTGCTCAATGGGTGACAATGATAAATTTAATTGAAATGCAAGTGAAATACTGAAATATGTTTGCGCTCACCGCCTCCTTGATGATACGTGTGATGACCGCGTTGGGAAGGTTGAGATCTTCTGGCCTTTCTGCCATTTCGCTCACTCTTCAGGACAGTATTCACAACCCTCCTCAAAAGTCTGTTGAGAGTTTCGCTAACACGCGTGCTCGGAAGCTGCTCAACTAGCTTAAAAGCTATTAGCACGGATACTTTTAACGCGATATTTTTTACTCCAAAGGACGACCGAGTGAGGAAATTCGTGAGATGATGTTCGTTTGGACAGTCACCTTGAAAAACTTTGTGTTCTTCCGAACCGATTTGTTTTGGGACGTTTCCCGCGAACCGCCTCGTACATTTCAACTCTGACCTCTGGCGCATGCGTGACGTATGGTTCGTTACATTACGTATGCAGTGCCATAATGGCTGCTACTCCCTTTTTGTCTTGACGGATAATAGCGTCAATCTATTGAGTCACCACGTCATTACAATAAAATGGGGCTGTTTTATGCATTTAGTCAAGGAAGGAGAAGAAATGTATGTTAATTGTAGAGCCAAAGAAAGTGGTTATAATTACTGAAGTGCAGGGTAAAGTAGAATCTATATACTGTATTCCGTGCAATTAAAAACAAACCATTACGTTACATTCAGTTTTATATGAAATCAAACTAAATACTGGAATTGAAATGGTCGCGCTTATAGATGCTGGTGGTCCTGTGAGAAAGTCGGTGTTTTCATGTTGTTTTCACATTTTTTTACAGTCAATTTGCTGAATAACGCTCGCAGTCACGTGACCACAGTGAAGTGGTAGAAGCTCGCGACTGTTAAAAACAATGCAATGGCGGAATTTCATTTCAGCTCACGCCTTTCTCTCACAGAAGATCCATCTAGCCTTTAAAGTATTACACAGTACTAGTTTCCATGGCAGCTGGCTTCATTACTAATGGAGCAGCATGATGCAGCCCACACAGTGTAAACCACTCGTAAAGAACACAGGGCGCATTGCTACACCCACCTGGTTCAAGGTGCTGTATCTTGCTTTCTCAGTTGTGCTGTAGGACATTAATGCTGACTTGAATCACAAGTCATATCTGTAGTTGGATATGTGAACGGATGCATTTAATTAAATTCAGTTCTGTAGATTACAGAGCACAAACTAAATCTGTTTTTTTTTCCTCCAAGATGTCAGTTTTAGTGTTACAGCACGAGCTACGTGTAACAAAGATAGCTGAAAGAGTTATGGGATGCATTGGTCTACCCTTGAAGGGCAGACTGTGATTAAGATAAGATAAGAAAACCTTTATTAGTCTTGCAATGGAGAAATTCCCAATTCCCAGCAGCAAAGTTATGAAAGGAAGAAGTAGAACAACAAAATATAGGAGCTGCTGGAAAGGCAGCCACTCTCGCGGCGCCATCTTGAAGTCAAAATAACAAAAAAACACAACCCAACACATAGGACACAGACAGTTGTGCAATCTTCACTAGAATCTCTCCATCATCCATCCATCCATAAGGGTCCCGGGACGTGCTGGAGCCTATCCCAGCTGACTTTGGGCAGTTGGCGGAGGACACTCTGAACCAGTTGCCAGCCAATCGCAGGGCACAGAGAGACAAACAACCATCCGCGGTCACACTCACACCTGGGGACAATTTAGAGTGTTCCATCAACCTGCTATGCATGTTTTTGGAATGTGGGAGGAAACCGGAGTACCCGGATAAAACCCACACAGGCACGGGGAGAACATGCAAACTCCACACTGGAAGGCCGGAGCCAGAATCTAACCCTGCACCTCTGCACCGTGAGGCCGGCGCTCTAACTAGTCGACCACCGTGCCACCATCTCTCCATCAACTAGTCCTAATTTCTGAGAACTATTATGGATTTACTGATTTAAATGTAAAAGAAATTAACTGTATAGAAGGTTTTCAAAATATGACCAGATGCAAAATCATCCGCAATTGCTTCTACTGTATTCATTTACAGGTACATAAAATATAAGAGCTGGTCCAATTTTAACATTTCACATAAATCCTCATCGTGAGCAGCACAGTGTTAATTGGTTCGCACATCCTCCTCACAGTGCAGAAGTGCAGTGTTCGATCTGGCTCTGGCCTTCCTGTGTGCAATTTGCATGTTCTCCCCATGCGTGTGTGGGGTTTCTCCGGGTACTCTGGTTTCCCCCCCACATTCCAAAAACATGCATGGCAGGTTAATGGATCACTCTAAATTGCCCCGAGGTGCATGATACACTTTTAGTGTGTTCATTTGTCTCGATTATTCCGGTTGTTACGGAATGACTCCTGTTATTACTAAACAATAATACAAAGAATACATGTTACCTTCAGGGCCAATAGCAAAATAAAGGTGTATGACAGAACAATAATTTCCGACTTGTTATGCAAACATGCTTTTAGTAAATTATAACATGCCAGCCCTTAGAGTATATTACAAGTTAACAGTGTCATAATTTTCACTTTGATATCAGAAAGCATCCCTGGTTATCTTAATAGTGTTTGTGTTTGTATGGGATATACAGTATACAGTATTGTCATTGTTATTCTTTGGCTTTTGACTCACCATGATACTTGATTTTTAGTTTAACTGTTTTTGTGCTTTCTGTCTTAGTTTGTAATTATTTGGTTTTGTTATTTAAATTATTTTTGCTCCATGTACAGCACTTTGTATATAGCGGTGGTTGTTTTAAAGTGCTCTATAAATACAGTTGAGTTTAGTTGCGAGTTCAAAGGGTCAAATCCAAAAAGTGGGGTCAAGGACACAAATTACACTTGTTAATTGCACAGCCAATATAGTTGTGTCTGCGGAGATATCATTTTATGGCTTTTAAGTTTCTTTTTTTTTTCTTCCATTTCAACACATACGCTGCACGTTTTCCCATTGGTTCGCACGTCTGCCTTACAGGGTCATTTTTCTCTGAGCACACTGGCTCTTCTAAAAAACATGCATATTGAATTAATTGAAAATTCCGAATTTTTGAAAGTGAGTGTGTGTTCGTCTACAACAGCACATTTGCCCTACGATTGGTTGCCGACCAGTCAAGGGTGCAATATCAGCTTGATAGGCTCCAGTTCACCCTGATGGTGGACGGCCAGTATAATTACGAAAAAAATGATGGATTTATTTACTTCACATACATACATTCCTCTACAGTTTCTTCATAATGTGCTCTGAGAGTACTTTGGACACATAAGTATATATATATATATACAATATAAAAGTATTATATTGCACTTAATTATTGACCTTATCCATGTTTGTATTTATATTGCACTTAATCGAACTGTGTTTTCTTTTCTCTTCTTTCTACCCACAATCTTGCTGCTGAAGGCTGTAAATTTCCCCAGTGTGGGACAAATAAAGGATATCTAATCTAATCTAATCTAATCTATAGTGTGTGTATTTATGTCAAAAACAGAGCATATTTGTGGGTTGTTTTTTTTTTTGCATCTGTTTGCTTGAGTTAAAATGGATTTCTTTTCAATGGCAATAGAAAAATGTGGGCAAGTTGAAACAAATCAATAGAATCTCTTTTGGGCTAATAAAAATGTCAGGTAATATATGTGTTGTAAAAACACCATTAAAGACAATGCAACAATACTGTATTGAATACTGTAAATATTGAAAATATCTAGTATATTGTATATGCAGAATTTCAACTTTGCAATAGCTCATCTGTAAGGACTTGGGCTATGGATACAGAAGGGTTATGGTTTGAGTTCCGCTGCTGGCTGAAAAACGGCAGATGTTTAAGAAATACAAGTTAGGGTGCATTTGCGCAAGGCACTGATCCCCCCCCACCACTAGCTCAAGAGTTGTACCACTGTTTTCATGCCCCTTATATTCTAACAGCTCTCATATGCATGCCTGAGTTTGTGTAATTTGGCTCTCTGTGTGATAAGCAATGCAAAATACACTTGTGACAAAAACTTAATGCCCTTTGGGTGAAATTTTACAAGGAACCTGAAATGCACTTTAACCTTTCGAGGTGAACTTAATTTGACGTTGCGTCTTTTGAATGGCCTTGTTCAACTGCTCAATGTTTCAATACTTTTTGCACAACTTGCTGTATCCTAAAAAGGAGCTAAACTTAAAATTCACAAGATGTGTTTGATCACTGATCGGACCAATACTTGTACTGATTCAACACTGGTGGTATACAAATGATCTTCTTTAGCATGCCATTAACCTTCTGACATCATGAGATGAGGATGACACAGAACATTTGATAAACAGTCCCTCATCAGTGTCAAGGGTCAGATGTAAATGGCTGCTGAGCTTAGTTTTTCAAAGATTGTCATCAGCCAGTTGTATTTTGCTAACGGAGATTGGGATAGCTAACAATATGGGGCTAACCCCAATTCATGCCCCTTAATTCAGTCAAGCGCATGCCAGTTAAATTTGTTTCATGCATCATCAAAACATCCAATTTCAGTTTTCAGGTTGTTTCAGTGATAAAGGTCTTTTGCACCAAATTGGGCCATTTCCAGTGGCCAAAAGTGTTCAGTCGAGCCTGTACCTGAACGTGTGTAGTGAACTGACACAGCAGTGGCACACTGGCCACCATTAATGCTGAACCTTGGCAGACTCAAACCCACAACCTCTGAACCGTGAAGTGGATGTGCCAACCACTCAAAGGTCATACCGCCACATCAAACATTTCTTGAGAAATTTGCCGCTCAGCTTTATGTTAGAAAACAAATGTAAAATGTAGTGAAACATTGTGGACATTTGCATTACAACGTCAAGAGGAGGTCAAATGAAGTTCACGTGTTAAGGTTACCGTGCATTTTAGGCTCATCTAGAAAATTTCACCCAGATGTCCGATATCCCTAACTCTGTGAATAGTGCCTAAACAGCTGAGTGGAAAATTATTGTCCCCTTGAGATGGTAATAAGTAAGATATATTTGAAGACGTGTAGCCCCACAAATCAATACTGTCTCTAACTTTGAAAACGTTTAATTTTGCGTGCGCTTGGATCTCCTATCCCAGGCAATTTAATCCTAAAATGCCTTATGTAAAAGTTAATTTGCACGCGCAAATGGTATATCCTACAGACAATTTAAGTACACCTCGTCATTAGGTGGACGTAGGATACTTAGCGAACAGAGGAAGTAAAGAGTAGTGAAGACAAAACTGACAGAAGTCGACAGTTACAGGCTGGCAAAGTTTGCCCTTCGTGGCGTGGTTCTGTATGCGCCGAAAGCAGGTAGAACGGAACCAGTCTGGAACGCGTAAATAGGTTTGTTTATGCAGTAGCACTCGTGTGTACATCCGACCGTCGCGGCCTCAAAGATAAATATGGTCGTCCACATATGATACGGACCTAAGAAATGCCGTTTGTAACCTATAGTTAGATAGCTCTATGCAGTCCGTTCTTGCCCCGCTAATCGTTTGGGTCTGGATGGATGAGAAGGACTGAGTATACATCGGAACTACTTTGTGGGGGATAGCCGTGCTGCGCCTTTCTCTCCCACTCGCCTGTGCTAGTCCGCCATCTTGAATTTTAATGTTAATTTCTTTCTTTCTTTTTTTTTATAAATGTGTTTCCTGTAATGTTTACGGTGCCGTTTCAGATTTCGATGACTTTTAAGCAGGGTTGTTATATTGCACGGTTATTTGACGAGGCCACCCGGTGAGTAAAACGTAATTTATTCTGTTTCCGATGTCTTCACTTGGGGCATTTAACCATACTATCGCGTGAAAATTCTTTATACTTACTGTAATACTAGTTGGTTGCTAGCATCATAACTGACCAACATGTAACCAATTACTTAAAGACCATATATTATCTTTGGCATCATATAGATGCGAAAACGAGCTGACTGTTTGCTTCCAAATCAAACAAGCAAAGCTAATGGTAGTGCATTAGCAACTGCTCACCGTTGCTGTTTAGTGGCTTGTAGGTAGTCATATTTTTCGTTTAATGTAATGTGTGGCGCTAACTATAGTAGCTTTTCCTCGTGGGTGAAAGTAACCTCAATTTTAGTGTTGCGATAATGGTACTGGTAGTGCGTTTTACCGACCGATTGCTATTGACAATGTTAGCTTACCAAGCTAAAAGAGCACTGATGAAGTTTAATGATAGATGTCTCAAGTGTTCGCTAACAAATAGCTCGCCTATAACGCGAGCAATCTGTGTTAGTTAAGTCGTCAAAGGACCATTATTCTCTGAAATGTATTGTTTTGTGTGTTGGCTGATTTTCATGCAAATGGGGATTTATTAGTTCACTCTGAGTGTACTGTGTACTAGATTTCTGTCAAATCACCGTCAAAATATAACCCTAAACAAGTATCACTGTGTCAGAACCCTTCGGTGCCATGCGGTTTATGTCCGCGTTACCTGCTAACATCAAGTGATTGTGAGGCATAAAGTCAGTCTTGTGTTTATTTCGTTTTGTCACGACATTCTGCCGGCGTCTGACGGAGCTGCAAAGCACCGCGGCCGAGCCTATCAGGCGTCGTCCTGGTAGCTAGCTCCATGCTAACCAAGGCAATGTGTGGAGCGGCACCTGTTAGCAAACAATGCAAGCGAATAGCCGAGACACAATTTGTCGCCTCCAAATGTTGTGGTGGCCTTCCGGGTTTCCACCTGAGTTCACATTGTGCATGCGAGCGCGTGCCTATTGTCCATTATACTTGAAGTATAATGGACGTCTGTTCGTGATCATAAGGAGTATCGCACGTATTGTGCTTTGGTACAGGAGCAGCGGGGTTCAGTTTGGATGCACGAATAGCTAATTGTTAAAACTACGTCTCATGCATTATTTTAGGTTACCACTAAACAGCGCTACAGTTCCGCTTGTGAATGCTTCCGTCGCTCTGTTCAACCGACCCAGGCTCACTGCGGAAATTGGCAAAAGCTTATCTTTGTTAAGCACGCCATCCCTGCTGCTACAGTGGCCCGTTAAGTTCAGAACGTCCAGACGTTGTTTGACTTGGATGTCTTATTAACATTTTTTTTTGCATTTGATCAAGTGGCTCTGAGACAACGAAATCCAAATATCTGCATCTGTATGTTCAGCGACGATCATAGTTCTCGCCCGTAAAATTCAGAAGGTCCAGAAGTTGTTTGATGTGGATGTCATTATCAACATATTTATTTGCAGTACGACTGAGTGACTCTCAGACATTAACGACTTTTAAATATTTGCACGTTTGTTCAATGTCACAGTTATCTCCAGATACCCTTGTGAACTGCAAAATGTCCTCCGAACATAAAGGGATAAATAGGTGCGTTTTTCATCCTTTTAAAAAGGGTGTCAGTTTCATAACTGTCTTAAACTTTGCAATACTACTCTGTCCTCTTCTTACACATCAATTTAATTGCAGCGTTTTGTTTATTTTCAATGTGTTTTGCAGAATTCATATTCAAGACGCCAGACTTCCCCACTCAAGAGTGTTTCTTCATCTCAGAGACTAAATGCAACTGGACCAGGGGGCTTGTGGGCATGAAGTGGCTGGGCGAATCCAAGAACATGGTCTTAAATGGCAGACGACATGGAAACAAGTTGACCAGCGAGCAGCCTGTGAGCCAGAGCCAGTCTCGGTCTCAGCATTCACAGCGGGTCTCCCTGCGCCACAACAAAACCCATCCCAGAAACCGAAGATGTAGCCGTAGTGAGTTGAACGTGTCTTTGTGTTTGTGTTTTTTGTAAGAGTATAGTTTAGTAGCAGTTCCACATTCTGAGGCTTGCTTGTTCTGGCAGGGTTTCACGCAACCAGCCTTGAGGCCGAGAGGCGATATGTGCCCTCGTCAGGTATGACTGCAAAGGAGCTCTGTGAGAATGATGACCTGACCACAAGTCTCATATTAGATCCTTACCTGGGCTTTCAGACGCACAAAATGAACACCAGGTCAGCTATTTACTAGGGTGCAACTGAAGTTTTGTTTGTGTTTTTTTGGGGGGAGGGGGCCATAGGAATACACTGTGCATCTATGTTCTAACTTAATTTTGTGTTGTTAATGTGGCCCTCCAGATTTCGTCCAGTCAAGGGAAGGCAGGAGGAGCTGAAGGAAATCATTGAACGCTTCAAAAAGCACGATAACTTGGAGAAAACATTCAGAGCGTTGATATCAGGGGACTGGTCCCGAAATCTTTTTCTTCACAAGACAAAATCTCAAGAAAAGCTATTTAAACAACATGTAAAATGTTTTCTTGTGTTCACAGTCCACTTTCATCATCACAATCACTCCAATCACTTGGTGATTAACTATACGCTCTTCCACAGGTTTTTGTGTATTTGCGGGTGTTTGCCACTGACAGCGGGTTCGAGATTCTCCCATGTAATCGCTATTCTTCAGAGCAAAATGGAGCTAAAATTGTGGCAACGAAAGAATGGTAAGTTCATGCCATTTCAGTCATAAATTCATGCTCTGGACATTTTATGAGCTAACTTTTCAGTGCTCATAACACACTTTTGGACCTGATCTTTTGCAGGAAAAGGAACGATAAGATCGAGTACTTGGTGGGATGTATTGCTGAGCTGTCGGAGAGTGAAGAAAACATGTTACTGCGGCATGGAGAGAATGACTTCAGTGTCATGTATTCAACGCGCAAGAACTGTGCACAGCTCTGGCTGGGGCCGGCTGCTTTTATTAATCATGGTATTAGTCTGTTGCGTTTTATGATTCGGGTTAAAACATTCCCGTAGTTTGTCAAACAGCAGCCTTTTCATTTTAACATTAGTTGACAATCCCGTACGCGGCTTCTTTTTCCCCCTTGGGAAAATAACTTTGTTTTGGCTCGGATGGTGGACAGTATTGTTCACAAATTGCCATTAAAAAATTTAACAACAGCAAAACTTTGTACTAAAAGAAAAACACAGCACCTACTGTGCTTGTAAACAATCTTAAGTGAGGTAGTGTGTGAGTCTGAACAGAGAACTAAAAACCATCTTAGATTACGTTGATGTTTTCTGGCAGGTAGCATTCTAGTCACCCGTCCTCTGTGTTGTGCGCTTTAGTTTAATGTTCCCGGGAGCCACGCGCCTTAAGAGAAGTTCAGTGCAGCCTCTCTCACTTCTTGACAGCCTCTCTCACTTCTTGACATTTTATTTTGCTTGAAAGTCCACTTTGACAAATAATATATATATAAAAAAAATTGTACACAGTACTAATCAAAACTTTGGACGTGGTGTCTTATCTAATGGTGTGAGGACTGTGTCAGAACGTTTGACTTTCAGTTTTATTCCACCAATAAAAATATTTGCAGTATAAAAGTTTATATAAATAAAAATGGCACAATAAAGCCTTAAGACTTGGTATATGCCTGGCACTGCCACGGTTCAGTAAATAGGTGTTCATGTACACCCTCCTTGCTATGTGAGGAAATGTAAATTATTATCTTGTAAATGTTTTTCCTCCATTTGTTCATGTCCATTTGCCAATGCAGATGATTAATTTGAGATATTTTCTTGCTTTTTCAGATTGTCGTCCAAACTGCAAGGTGATTAACTCTGCAATTGTTGTTTTTTTTTTTTTTTAATAATACTTTTGAATTTGTAATCATGTCTAAATAAGCTTGGAAAGCACACACAAATGTATAGATTCATTCCCTTTTTTGTTGTTGTTAGTTTGTGTCGACAGGGCGGGACACTGCCTGTGTAAAGGTGCTAAGGGACATTGAGCCAGGCGAGGAAATCTCTTGTTACTATGGAGATGGATTTTTTGGGGAAAACAATGAATTTTGTGAATGCTACACCTGTGAACGGTAAATTGGAAAATGTATTTTCATACACAGTATCATCACATTTAATGTCTGAACTTGGTTATGTCAATAATTTGGTCAGTGTCATGTAATAGTTTGTGTTGCAGATATCAGGAAAATAGAAACATCAGTTTTTGAATGATTCAGCCAAAATAACATGACGAAGCTTTCTGATTATGTTCAGAAATTAAATTTATATTATAGAAATATGATCAATACATGCAGCGTTTACACTCTTGACAATAAACTTTTCAATGATGACCTGCGGTTTGTCCGAGCGTTGTTTTAAATTCACATTCTTTCATTTGTTGTCCCGCAGACGCGGCACTGGTGCTTTCAAATCCAAAGCTGGACTGCCTGTCGAAGTTCCAGTGATCAACAGCAAATACGGGTTGCGGGAGACAGACAAGCGTCTGAACCGTCTGAAGAAGTTAGGAGAAGGAAACCGGAGTTTGGACTCTCACTCTGTAGGCTCCCACACCGACGTAGACTCTCAGGAATCGCCCAAAACACATCAATGTAAGGGTTAATGCTGTTTCTTTGCACCACTGAGAAACCAAAGCAATTTTCACTTGGCAATACAATTTGATGAAATGTATTCAGAATGTGCATTCCAACTGGAACAGGGTAATCTATGTATAGAGAAGGTGGAGAAGAATTATTATATATTTATGATTTTTTTTTCCCCCTGACAATCTGCTTATACATGTCGTTTTGTCTTTGTGTAGCTGCCAGAAAAAGATCATCTGGTCTCAAGTATAAAAACAGGACTCAAACAAGACAGACGTTGTCAAGAGCTCTCACTACCTCATGTTCAAAACAAGGACGTGTAAACAATAATAGGGTACCAAAGAGACTAAAATCCCAATCAAAGCCTTCACTAAGTAGAGTCCAGTTACGGAGTCGCAGAAGGGGCGCGGAGCCCAAGGCATTGGCCAAAGGTGAGACTTGCCAGCTGGGTCTCAGAGACTCGAAGGTGTCGCTGTGTAAAGGCGTCTCCGTAAAGAAGGAGAAGGACGGCCAGGAGCTGGTCCAGCAAACGCTAGGCCAGCGGGGATGCTTAACACGTCACGCTGCAAAGGAAAACGTTAGTCTCACGGTTGTGCAACATGGTAAGGGTTGCCTGTCGTCAACGTACAGAACTCGCAGGTCCACCCGGACACTCGTCAAAGCCCAAGAAACAACTGGCGGTGTCAAGCTGGACCCCGGTGCTATGCACAACTTGAGCCCAGTCTCCGGTGCAGTGGTCATTAAATCAGAGCCATCGGACTTGGAGGAGTATCTTCACCACGAGATAGGTCTGGAGCAGCCGGCATTGGATGCCGGCTATCCCCAAAGGGGCTCGTGCGCACGGCTGAAACGGCCGATACGGCTCGGGACGGAGCGAACAATTAAATGCGAGGACTCGTACGGTGAGCCGTTTATGCCAATGGCATCCGGTCATCCCACCAGCTACTCAGACTGCGGGAAGGTTCTCTTGAGCTTCTCCGACCGGCACAGGGATTACAACCGGGTTGCCAATGGCAGGAAATCCCTCCGTCGGGACAAGGGCAAGAGTAGCTGTCGCTCACAGGACAAGGGGAAGAAGAAGCGCAGGATCACTCGTTATGATGCCCAGTTGATCCTGGAGAACACGACGGGTCTCCCCAAACTGACGCTCCGGCGACGGAGAGACAGTAGTAGCAGCAAGACCAATGATCCTAACGACGTCATCGGTTCTTCCGGTCTTTCTGCCGCGTCAGTGAACTCGGCCTCATCCAGCAAGATTAGCATCAAGTTCAGCAAGGACCACGACAAGGACAAAGGCAGCTCGTACATAGCCAAACTCAATAACGGTTTTTCCCCCGTGGTGCACAGTAACTCGACAAAGTTAAAAATACAGCTGAAGAGAGAGGATGACGCGCGGAGACTATCCCAGATGAAGGCGGACCAGCTGTCCTTCAACGGTGACATGGGTCCGAGTTTTGAGGCTCGAGGGGGTGGACATCGAACCCAAAAGATTATGGCAGAGCCGTCGTCCGAAGATGAAAATGATGCGGATGCTGATGACGACGAGGACTACTTTGACAATGAGTTTGAAGACGACTTCATTCCACTTCCCCCGGCGAAACGCCTGCGACTCATTGTGGGTAAAGACTCCATCGACATTGATATCTCCTCCAGGAGGAGAGAGGATCAGTCTCTTAGACTCAATTCATAGCTTGTGGAGCTCCTCCCTCCTGTCCCTGTAAATAAAGAAAACAAGCGAATCAGCTGTCGTGTTGATGTAAAATAAGTATAGTAATTTAAAAAATTAAAAATCTCTACAAATCTGGGCCAGTATTCATAAAGATTCAGATGTGTTCTCAATCATTTGGACCTGTCTCATCGAACCAGAAGACCAGAACAAATTTCACTCACTCAGAAGACAAGAGTCATTATGAGTACAGGCCCAGAAACATTACTAGAAGGGGTTGCTAACTTAAAACAAATCTGCTCAATTTCAATTGCATTCATCCGCAAGTACCTGATGTGATTTTGTTTCCCCACCACTGGTTTACAGCAACGTTGTGTAACTGTCTTACAATACCCAGACAATTGAAGAATAAATTGTCATTTTGGAATTTTGAGAAAGATGACAACCGGAGCATGTTTGATGTTTTGTTGCATTATGTTGATCACCTGTTGCAAAGAAATGGCCGAGTTGGTTGAGCCTTCCAAACAATGTTTCCTAGTAAAAAAAAGCACAATTATAAACTACCGTGAAAAAAAATCTATACATATAAAATGGAAAATACCAACAGTTTGAACAATTATTTAATCACAGAGGGCTTTCTGAGGGCTTTCTGTCCCTTTCATTGTACTCTACGTCCACACACTGTTTTGGTTTAGATCACGGGTCACCAACTTTTTCGAAACAAATCACTTCTTGGGAACTAATAGGGACGGCTACCGGTTTGACACACACTTCAGAAATAAACTTTGCTTTTCATCATTTTGCAACTGTTGCGAGAATATGCAGTACAGCGAACCGATGGATGTGTATTCGAATATGTGAACACAACAACTACAAAACTATGATTTAGCAGTGTCGGAAACTGAAGCAATTTATTCCTATAAATCTCTTAAAGCATTAACATTTTCAAATACATTCTTAAACATTCCTAGGAAATCACAATGGTTCGCTATTCGAATATGCCCACTGGCTACTCATGCAGTCCTTGCGGGATACCTGATTAAGATCGGTGTAAGATGCGTGTGCATTGATATTGAAAACGACACAATAGCTACTAAGTCATCTGCCCCACTCGAGTCAACGCTGCCTTTTTTTTTTTCTCCAAACGGTGCAACAATTCATTTGGAAACCCCTCATTGTGGCACAAAATGACTTGTTTGGAAGGCACTCCACATGGCAGGAAAGAGAAATCTCAATTCGCTCCCTTTCTACTGATTTTTGTACTCCAGTCAAGTTAGTTGGTTTACCGGCAGAAGTTGCAAATGTCGCCCTCACCCCGTGCGCTTTAGGAAGCGGGATGGTCTGCTTGTTGTACAACAGTCTTTGTTTGCCGAACCTCATTGACAATTGAGAGAATTGTTTTCTGTTCAACTATTCCTTTCAGTGAGTGCACTTGTTATATTCATAATGGACATTGATATTGTAGAAAGTGTACAGTATAGTGACTATCCACTCTGTCTTATAGGCAGGTTTTTATTGATCTTTGGTTTGGTTTTTTTTCCCCTCCGTTTGTATTTTATTATTTTATTTGTTTTTTGTATGTGAGAAGCCATGCTGAATGTTCAGTGTTGGTGCAGTTGGTCCAGAAGCATTATAATATTGCTCCGTCACTTGATTTGGATTCATGTGCCATGTTTTAATTACTGCAGTCTCTAAAGCCAGGACTTTGATTTCCTTTCCGATCAGCGTTTTTCAATGTAAACAAGAGTTGAATGAAATAAATAAAAGCACATGGTTTTGTTATACATGACTGTATTTAATTGTGCCCAAGTTTCTTTCATTTTGGAGCCACTTTGTAATAAAAACATGGCATATCAAATTCAGTCATTATGCTTGTGCATAAAGGCTACTTTCAGAAAATATTATATAGAAAGACTGGCTTATATTGCTTCATCACACTTCATATTTTTTAAGAGCTAAATTTGATTTCTCTTCCAGAAATTTTGCAAGCAAGACAGTTGGAGGAAGCACACGATCTCAAACATACACGGCTCAGAATCATTGATTTGGTGCCATACTGTCAATTGCTTTTGATTTCTTGCCTGTCCCATCGTGTCTTGTACATGGCAGCATATCGTCAGTCTTCAATTCAGTCCAAATACCTCTGAGATTTTGTCATTCACACATTTTTTTAAAGTATATTCAATCTAGTATCAACAGGTGCCTTAATAGATTTGACCAAATTTATAGAAGAAGTCATTGAACGATACCCAGCTTCCTACTTAAATAGTTTCGCTTACAAATTATGTCAGTCTTTCTGTATATTATTTTTCTCCTCTAGAAGTTATACAAGCCAGTAGATTGAGGGATCAACTATAAAAAAAAATGTTTACCTACTTTTCATGTTAATATGTACTGTTCATATCACCAGCAGCTAATCATCGTTCTAAAATGGGCTTTGTCAGTCCTTCCTCTTTGTTGGATTGTCTGCGTCCACTCTAAAACTGTTCCGGATGTACCATTTGTGTGCTTTTTGTCCAATAGACGGCTTTCACTTTTCCTACAGATTCAAAAAGAAAACAAAAATGTAATATACTTTACGGACATTTAGCGTCTTGCGTGGTTAGTGGGAAACCTGTACAAAGAATTAAAACTGGGCAGTGCATATATTGTCCAATATGTAAATCATGTGAACGAACACACCTTGTACTTATTTAACAGTTTTGAATACTTGAAAACGATATAAAGTTGCTTTGTGATTCATCTCCTGGGCCTCTTTTGCGCAGAAGGAGTCCCAATTTGTGTTTCGGAAATAGAATAAATACAAAGTGCATAGTTTTCCATTCACTTGACCTTCACTTGTTACACTTTGACTTTCCCTCTCCAAAACCCCACTGTTTGTTGTACACACTATGCAGACAAAGTCTTTAAAGAAGACGACAGGAGCTTGTTTGTGTGGGTAATCTTTGTGCGGAGCTGATTGGTGTTGGACCGGAGAGAGATCTTGCTCACTCACCATCTCTGTTTATTTTTCAGCCCAAAAGTTTGAGATGGTCTTAAAGTCAAGGTTTTGTACAGGTTCTTCTACACCAAACTGAACCAAGCATGTTTTCTGGACCTTGTCCTCCCCCACATGACACAGTCATGCTGGAACAGAAAAGAGCCTCCGAAATAGGAGCCATATAATTAATTGTCAAAACATCTTTGTAAAAGATGCAGTTGCAAGGAAATGTATGTGAACCCTTTGGAATTACCTGGATTTCTCCATAAATTGGTCATCAAATGTGTTCTGATCTTCGCCTAAGTCACAACAATAGACAAACAGTCTGCTTGAAATAATACCACAAAAACAATGTTCTCGTGTATTTTTTTGAACACACCATGTTAACATTCACCACGCGTGGTGAAAAAAGTAAGTGAACCCTTGGATTTAATAAATGGTCGACCAACCATTTGGCAGCAATAACCTCAAACAAACATTTCTTGTCGTTGCAGATCAGACCGGCATAACGGTCAGGAGGAATTTTGGGCCGTTCCTGTCTCAGTTTAGCAATGTTCTTAGGATGTCTGGTGTGAATTGTTCTCTTAAGGTCATGCCACAGCTTCTCTATTGGGTGAGGTCAGGGCTGACTGGGCCACTCCCAAAAGCATATTTTCTTCTGTTAAAACCATGCTGTTGTTAATTTACTTCTGTGCTTTGGGTCATTGTCCTGTTGCATCACCCATCTTGTGTTGATGCCCCCTCCACCATACTTCACATTTGGAATGAGGTTTTGATGTTGGGGTGCTGTGCCTTTTTTTCTCCATAGTGTTGTGTTCCTTCCAAACTACTCAATTTTGGTTTCATCTGCCCACACAATACTCTGTCAGTAGTGCTGTGGAACATCCAGGTGATCTATGACAATTTTCACACGTGCGGCAATGGTTTTTTTTTTTTTTTTTGGTGGGGGCGGGGGATAACAGTGGCTTCCTCCGCGGTGTCCTCCCATTAACTCCATTCTTGTTCAGTGTTTGGCGTATTGTAGATTCATCCACAGAGATGTTGGCATGTGCCAGAGATTTTTACTGACACTCGAGGATTCTTCTTCACCTCACTGAGCATTCTGCGCTGGACTCGTCATCTTTACAGGACGGCCACTCCGAGTTAGAGTAGCAACGGTGCTGAACTTTTTCCATTTATAGACAATTTGTCTCACTGTGGACTGATGGCCTTTTACACCCCTTTTCCACCCAAAGAAAACTTGTTCGTTCGGCGCCAGTGCTATGCTTAGTTTGTTCCAGGGGCGTCACTAGGTTTCAAGAACAAGGGGGGCTTAGCCCCAAGGGGAACACAGCCCCTTTAGGGGGGTCCGGGGGCATTCCCCCCCGGGAGAATTTTTTTCTACATTCTGTTAAAAATCCATCAATTCCGTGCACTTTGAGAGCAAAATGAAGAGGCTATGAAGAACTACACACATCACATTAGTATCCTCTTTACTATGATGGGGCTTCCTCCCCTGGACTTTAACTGGACTAGATAATAGAAATTATAAAGAGTTCAAAAGTTCAATCTTGGTTGTTCAAGGGAATTAGAAGGATGCCCGATAACATAACCTATATGACAGTAGGCCTATATTCCTCTCTACCAAAATGTATTAATATATGCTTAGCCCCCAGAAGACTATGTATTTTGACTTAGGCCTTCAGTGACGTCACATACATACACAATATAGGCTCGTCAAGCAG